GTGGGGGGGGTGTTACTCTGCTTTGGAAAAGTTACTATATTTCACTACAGAAAATAGTAAAACTAATAGAAATCTTTGCATTGTTCCAGGAAAATAAGTCAAAACATGGAAAAACTCCCATTTCCAGAAAACTCCCTGCGCTTTATAGGTTTGCTAAAATGCGTGTCCTTAGTAGCTAAAGAAACTTCAACTTTTAATGAGAAGTCACAGTTTAAGTGTTAAAAGTTGCAGATAAAAAGGGCTTGTTGATGTTGTTCCCTACTGAATTTAGGGCAAAAAGAGATAAGACTTGATCTCAAGTCTGAATTTTGGGCTGAAGATGTGGCTGTTTCTATGTGGAGAACACCCCAGACACAAGAAGGAGCAGGATGCTTGCAAGAATTTTTCTACCACCTGCTCACTAAAGACAGATTGGAAAGAAAGCAAATCAGATCTAACATTTGTTTAGGTCCTTTTGTCAGAGTTTGTTCTTGCTCTTCTAGGTGTCCATAACGTGACAGCGCTGGGTAACCTGATCACTTGGCAGAAGGTGGATTATGACTTCAATTACCACCAGATGGAATTCCCATGCAATATTAATGTTCTTATCACTTCCGAGGGTCGATCGCTCCTACCGGTATGGCACAGGCTTCTCCTGAATCTGGGGAGTAACTACAGGTGGTAGCTGCTCACTTAGAACATGCCATTCCTGAGAGGTGAAGGCAGGAAAACAGCCTTGTGATGAGGGGTGGGTATGACAGTGGTGTTAGTTACTGCCTGCTTGCTCCTGGCTTGCAGGCAGGCTAAAAGCCTGTCCAAGGAAAACAGGGATTGACCTTCCCTCCTCCTGGACTAAGATGATGGGGAAAGCCTGCAGCTATACTGTGACTCTCCAAGCCTATTCTAGACAAGTAGTTTAGGGGTTGATGGGCACAGGAATAGAGTGATGGAACTGGCATTGACCCTAGAAACACTGAGCAGCCAGAGTTTACAATACCTGGTCTCCTGCACTCCAGCTTTATGAACTGAGCATTTGCTCTCTCACCTCTGCAGTGAACCAGGCTGAGGGAGTTGGGCTTTGTTCAGCATGGAGGAGGCTCCAAGGAGAACTTAGGGCAGGTCCAGTGCCTAAAGGGGGTACAAGAAACATTGAGAGGGGCTTTGGACAAGGGCCTGTAGGGACAGGCCAAGGGGAATGGCTTTAACCTGCCAGAGGGGAGACTGAGAAGAGCTCTTAGGCAGAAGCTCTTCCCTGTGAGGGTGCTGAGGCGCTGGCACAGGGTGCCCAGAGAAGCTGTGGCTGCCCCATCCCTGGCAGTGTTCAAGGCCAGGTTGGACACAGGGGCTTGGAGCAAGCTGCTCTAGTGGAAGGTGTCCCTGCCCGTGGCACGGGGTTGAGACTGGATGAGCTTTGAGGTCCCTTCCAACCCAAACCAATCTGGGATTCTATGAAACTGGCTCCTGCTTGAATAAGGACTTCATGCAAGCCTTCAAAAAGGGAACTGTTATATATTTAAGGAATGCATTGTCTTACCTTAATTCTGGTCAATAGTGACTTGCTTCAGAGAGTAAATCCATCTTGGAATGGGAAGAGACAGGATGTGGAAAGAGATGATATGCAATTCTGTTTTTCAGTCAGATTGCCAAATCCACTTACAACCACAGCTGATCCCCCCAAACATGGAGGAGTACATGAGCAGCCTCCTCACAGCAGTGCTCCCTTCTGTCCTGAACAAGTTTCGCATTTACCTCAGCTTGTTGAGGCTGCTGGACTACAGCATCTCTGAGGAAGTGACCAAGGTATGGAAGACCGCACTCACAGCTCTTCAACTGTATGTTCACAGGACTGTGCTTTCCCATTGCTCTCCCTGTCAGTGATTCTCCTTGATATTCTCTAAGAAACCAAAGAGAGGCATTTTCTCAGTGTTCCTTTCAAGGCTTTGTGCTCTTGAGTATTTCAGTCCGTACCATACCCATATCCTGCTCTCTAAAACTCGTGTTGAAACCTAATTCTTTTCCAAATCTCATCTTGAAACCTAATTGTGGAAGATGAGCTGTAACTTACTTTGACTCGCTTCCTGACAGCAGTCTGTTGCTCCTGCATCTAAGGATAGTTTCAGTGTTTTAACTCCTTAAAAGCTTTTGTTGAGTGAAGACTCTTTGCCAACAGTTACCTGTTGTGTTGTTTACAGGCAGTAGAAGAAGACTTTGTAGAAATGAGGAAGAACGACCCTGAGAGCGTAACAGCTGATGACCTGCACAGGACACTGCTTGTAGCAAGGTGGGTGGTGCTGGTTGTTGTAATGGAAGCCTTTTGGGCAAGTCTGAGTTGTAGAATCATAGACTCAACCAGGTTGGAAAAGACCTTTAACATCATCAAGTCCAACCTTTACCACTTGTTTAAGGTCAAGACCAACTTTACCTGTAGTTTCATGAGGTTGGCCAGTGCTCAAATGATGGCATCTCCTCTTCTGCTGTGCCTCTTGTCACAGATTCCTAGTTAGGCAAAGTATTCCCCCCCCACATTTCTTCCTATGCTCCCTAGTTCATGGAATACTGAAGGAACACTTTTACTATATTAAGCTTATCAAACCTGACACGTGACCAAGCTCTTTAACCCCTGCTTCTGCTCATCCAGGTTCCTGTCTCTCAGCGTGGGGCAGACAACGCTATCCAGGGAGAGGTGGCTGAGAGCAAAACAACTGGAGGCCTTACGGAAAGCCAGGCTGCAGCAGCAGAAATGTGTCAATGGGAATGAACTTTAACACTCTGTGGATGTCGCTATGAGTTTGTCTAATCCTAGATGGAATCCCCCTACTAAGATTGGAATATTGTTTATACCAGTTTTTGTAGATAATTTATACCAAAAGAAGTTATGGCTATTTACCCTCACAGGCTGAGCATACTTAACCCCGTTCAGCCGGTTCACCATATTTTATGACCTTTTTTTGGAGCCTGTTTTGTAATTGAAAATTGGTAACAATGAGCAAATTGTTTGATATTAAACTTTAATACTGAAGTTGTGTAAACTCCTGTCCTTTAATAATGAGGAAGTTGAACCCAGAGCCCTTCGTACACCTCACGGGTAAGGCTCCTTCCTGGAGTAAGTTTGTGTTGTGAGTGGTGAGTTCTGAGCATCAGAGCTGGCAGCAGCAGAAAGAACCAGACTGTTGCTGTCTGGGCCTGTGCCCTGCTGGTCCTGTGAGTGAAGGCACATTGCACTCACAGCAGCACAACAGTGGTAGAATTTGCTTGATCTTATCCATGCTGAGGTTCCAGTATGAAATACATCCTTATTGTTAGACAACACCATGACTCACTTCTTCAGTGTCTCTAAGGAGCTTTATTCTGGCACAATTTAAGAGGGGGAAAAAAAGGCATTGAGTGGAGATTTGGTGATATTCATGTACTCGTACAGAACGTGTCAGGCTTTTTGCCTGAGCAGTAAGGTGGTGTTTAAACTGTTTGAATAATAGCCATTAATTACTGTATAACTTACATTGTACAGTACGAGCTGGTTTCCAGAGGCTGCCCTGCCACTAATACCACCTGCAGGACTGGTTTAACAAGGGTGGGTTAAGCAGTGAAACATTAAACCAGCACAGAGATGGAAGAGTCCAGAAACACTGCGCTGTGCTTGTGGAGGCAACCTGCAGGAGTCAGTGCTGGAGCTGATTCTACATCTTGCTTCAATTCATCCTTTTACCAACAAGGACAAAGGCTCCTGCCCAATTGGGAGGAAGCCAAATTCCCTCTCACTTGGTGCTGTCTCATGACTGAGATTGTGTGAACAGGAACTGCCTTTTTCACTGCAGTTCTAGTCTAAATATGACACTGGTTGTTGCAGCACAGCCACCCTGGCCCTGTCCTTTTCATCTCTGCACACTCACAGTAATTCAGGTGTTTATACTATAAACAGGTTTTGTCTATCTTAAACTAGCCCAGCTTGATGCCCTTTCAGATAACCTTTATTTGAACACTAAGCTGAGTATTCCTGGTTTCATCTGCCTTGTGCTACATTAATATGAAGTTAAGGAACTGAACAGGAGAAAATGAAGTCTCTGATCAAAAGGCAGCCTGGCTGGAGCACAGCTGGTTTGTAATGTCATCTCAGTGCTGCTTACAGCATGGGTCGAGGCACAGTGCCATGTGAGACCATCTTTGGTATTTCATAACTATTGGGCAATGCCTAAGCTGGAAGGACACAGCATGCTTGGGTCCCCAAGCAGAAGGCAGGGAACCAGTGCCCCAGGTCAGCAATTCATTTCCAGGGGGATCTGTCCTGAGTGTTGCAACACTGGTTTTGTAATACGAGTGATTTTACAGCTATTGGTATCCTGCCTCACAGGACTCTCAGGCTGTCAAAGTCACTGCACGTATGTGATGTTTGTACAGACCAGTTTCTCTTTTTCCTACCTAAATAATGGCAAAGATTTGGAATTTCCTGTCCCTCCTCCAGCCCTTCACAAGTCCCAAAGCTTTTAAGGAGTCCTCTCATCACGTCTATGACTAGCCTCCTTGAGGCCAGTGTTGCATCAGGGCAATGATAGAAGGATAGAGGATCAAGTCATGTATGTGTCCCTTGCTTGGCAGGGGATCTTATGTCTATAACATCACTAATATGCCTATATTAAGAAGTCTGTCATACAGTATTAGTATAGAACATTAATAAGATGGGGAGGGTGCAAGGCAGGCAGAGCCCAGCTGCTCCCAGTGGTGCCTGGTGCAAGAACAGGAAGCCATAGCCACAAACCAAAACACAGAAGAGTCCCCTCTGAGCATCAGGAACCACTTTTTACCATTAGGGTGACTGAGCATTAGAAGCAGGTGCCCAGAGAGGTGGTGAAGCCTCCCATCCTTGGAGATACCTGGGACATAGTCCTGACCAAATGAGTCCAACCCCTTCCAACCTCAACGCTGCTGTGATTTTGTGACTCTCAAGATGACCTCCCCATCTCTGAAACCTACCCCCCCCCAGCCCCAGGGTCCCACATCCTTTCACATCACAGCCAAAAGCCACCTTTTGATTCCACTTTTTTATTAAAATAGCTCCTGTATATTGCTCACATTAAAATACAGCAGTAGTTTAATTTTAAATAGAGCCACAAGTAGAGACACTCAAAAAACCCAAACCCACAGCACTGTCATAAAATAAATAAACCAGATCTGTTTATTAAAGTCTCAGACGGTCAGGGACAGGGGAGAACCATTTCAGACGCACCCAGAAGCTCTAAGACACTGTTACTACCCTACCCCTATGACACTATTTTCTCTGAACACCACGTGCAGCCTACCTACAGTACATGGACAAGAACACCAAGGCACCGGGGTCTGCAACGGTGGGTACAGTCACAAACCACAGCATAGCAAGGTCCTGCTGTACAGGAGCTGTTGGGTGATGTCCTACACTAGAACAGCATGGCAAGGCATTGCTGGGAAAGGGTGGTTAAGGTAGATGTAAATCTTTTGACACACATAGATAAGGGTTGGGGGGGCGGGGGGCTTAATCCCATTCCCAGCACGAGCGGATGCTTAGCCTGCTTTATCCTGCCAGTATGCAAAGCTTGAGGTGGTAATGAATTTGGTTTTGATTGGATGCTGTAATGCAACACTGATTCCATGGAACAGTACATTTGCCTTCTCTTCTAGAAGTTACTTGGACTTTTGCATCTGAACAGTTAGAATATAAGCACAGAGAGGGACACAATGCCTGAAGGGCAGGTACTGGCCTTGTCTTGCTTTATACAGTGATAAAAAATAAGAGCAAATTGCCAGTGTTTGAAATTTAGGAGAAAAGAAAGAAATCGGAATCTCTTCAGCATGGGCAAGACAATGAGAGGACGTCTGCTCCATCTCCCCTCACCTCAAAACAAGCGAGAGGCCAAAGAGATCTACGGAGTGGATGTGCCCCGCAGGACGGTGGGTGTTTCAGGTGGCATCGATACGCTTTACGTGGACTGAACGTGGCCCAAGAGGTGCGGAAAGGAAAAGACAGCAAAAAAGGAATCTTCATTTCTGGTTAACATAATGCAATGGAACAGAAACTCATCCATTCCCATTGGAGAGGCACAATTCATAGAAAGCTGCATCTAAAACTTCAATGGAAACAAGTAAAAACACTAGTCCAAAAATAAATAAAGTGTAATTTACCGGTTAAGTTCTTTTGCTGGTGTAGTGCAAGGTAAGTAGTAAGGTCACAGAAGTGCAGTTTCACCTTTTGAGTATAAATACTTTCTACAAGAAGTCAGAAGAGCTACAAAATTAGTCTCCAAAAATAACTGTGCAACACATATAAGACGGACAGCATGCTTAATACATCCCAGTGTCTAAGCTACCTGTTTAAATAGGGGCTTTACCGTGCTCATCTCACCTGCCTATGCTTGGTCAGAACCAAATTCATTCACATCTCTCACTGCCTGTAAACAAGTTACCTGTATTATTGATCCCAGTATTCAGTAGCACTTCATGCCACAGTGAGTCCTGATGTCATATTCTCTACTATTGTATTAAAAGCCACAACTAAAGGAACACTTCCTAAAGGAGCAACTAGATCTGAATGATCCGCGTCTGGCATTGGGTGAACATCGCTCTCAGTTCTTTCTGTTTAATTTCATTGAGAGCTTCTTGTTCTGCAGGGCTCTTCTGGACCTTTGCCACAGCAAAGTTAATCCCTTGAGTCAATCCTGCTTGTGTGATGTTAGCAACCTGGACCATGGAACTGCGGATCTTAGCGAAGGGAGACACAGCTCTGCTGCTGCTGCTCTCGGCTGGAGAGGGAGTCATGTGGAGTCCTGTCTCGGGGTTACCAGATGCAGATCCTGGGCTCTTATGAGATCTGGTGAAGTCAGACCCACCAACAGCTAAGAGCTGAGGATTTGGCTCAGAAGACTGTACATCCAACTTGGATGGCCTGGAAGGAGCATCTCCGATAGCTTCAGCCTTGCTTTCTGCTGCCTTAGATGTATTATTGCTGCTTTGATTTACTGTGTGATGGGGCTCTTGAGAACCAGCCTCAGCCTCCAAAACATCGGACACCTTGTTTTGAGCATCGTGCACAAACCTCTGGCAGTACTCATCCATAGGTTTAGCAAACTCCATCTCCACGTTGTCAGCAGAAGGCATGGCTACATCTTCACAGTCAGAGCGGTCACCCTGAGACACGTGGATCTCGGAAGGAACGTGAATGCTGATGTTCATGTCAGTGCTGCTGATGGACTGGGAGCGGCTGCCCAGCCGTGGTGCTGAGGCAATGATCCCACAGCTGGGCAGCACATAGTCTGCCTGCCCTATGTTCTCCAAGGAGTCAGTCAGCTGGTTGTCCTCATCGGATTTAGAATTGGTCAGGAAGTCATCCGAGTGGAAAGAATCATTATCTGACCCTTCTGTATCAGATTCCGTGTGGACTTTAGCATCTCCCACCGGGTTCTCTAACGTTTCAAGGCTACTGTCTGATTTCCAGAGATTCACTTTCAGATTTGGTTTTAAGAAATTGACTTTCACCTCCGGCTTGGTAAAGCTGCCCAGCTTCCGCAGGTTACTGATGTTCACGTTGGATTTGGTTTGCTTCACTTTTTGATTGAGAGATGAGAACTTGCTCAGTAAATAGTTCTTGCCCTGGGCCAGGGACCCTCTGTTCCGAGACCGGATGCCAATGATGTCTTCATGGGGTTTACTGCTCTTCCTGGAAGAAAAAGAAGGAAATCTCTAATGCAAAAAATCAAGGCAGTCTCATAAACAGCAACTATTTATCATCTTCCAGTCTGTTTCCATAATACAGATGGACATTTTCATTGAATTCCAGACTGGTTTGGGTCGGAAGGGAGCTTAAAGCTCATCCAGTTCCAACAACCCTGCTACAGGCAGGGACACCTTCCACTAGAGCAGCTTGCTCCAAGCCCCATCCAACTTGGCAAATTTGCCCTTTCTAGTTTTGCTCCTGAAAAAAGGCCCAGAGTGGAAAGGGAGCAGAAAAACCCTGACATTTCAGAAACTAATATGTAAATGATTTCCTCACTGTTAACACCTCATCAGTATTTGTACATACAGGTTACTTCTGTTGATATACAGACAACTGAGTTATTAGTGAAAACTAAACCAGACTAGTAAGTATTTCTCAAGTACTGTTAAGCTTTCGTGTGCCCTCTTGTCTGAACAGGCTTGCAAAACAAGAACTGCTCCCCTCTGACTAACACTGAGGGGTTCAGAAGTTTAACTTCAGCCATCTCCTTACACAAGACCTGTAACGTGATCTTGATTTGTTAAACACTCAGCTGCAGTGGCATCCAAACCAGATTCACCCTTCAGTTTGTCTTCTTACTACAGAAGCAGACATCAAGTTCAGACAGGAAAAATGAAATTTGACATATTAACCATGGTTTGCAGTGTGTTATTTACATTTGGAAGTGTCTATAAGCACACAAGTATAAACCAGTGTTCTTGCTTATACTTCTAGATAAGCACCTGCAGGCTGTTATCATTGGAAGCAGCACATGGAGGAATTAACTCCCAGCACAGTAGCTGGATCTGAATGTTCCTTTCATGTATCCCATGCATGGCTGTTACCAGGTACTGTTAGTCACTGAGAAGAGAGTGAAAGCAGGGCACAGAAGATTCACATCATTGTAGTACTCACCTCTCCAGCTTCTTTTCAATAATGGGCACATCTAATCCCATCGCTTGCTTTGTGATTCTCAGCATTTCTGCAATGCACTGAAGAGTGTCTGAAATTCAAGTAGCAGTCTGTCAGACCCTTAATAAACCCTCAACACACCATATTCCAAAAAGCCACAGAGAAATAAGTCTGGTTTTAATGTAATTAAATTTGTTTGGTTTTTTTCTTTCACCCTACAAGTTGTAACTGTGATTTACAGATTACAAAGTAAGCTTGGAGAATAGACTCTCCTTAAGCTCTAAATACTGGGTGTAAGTGAATCACTGCCACGATCCATCATTTGTGGAAGGAAGAGAAGCAATTATACCCATTCTAATCCTTGTTGACAAAATTCAGTGCTCCAGGTCAGAAGTGCTATTTTTTCCTTATTAGTTTTCATGTAATTCACTTAAACAACAAGCAAGAACATTTTCAGCCATTGATTTCATTAAACAAATCAATTCCTTCCGCTCTTTAGGAGCTAATTTTAAGTTCATTTAATCAGGTTTTGGAGCAGTAAAGATCTGGACATGGAAATGTCTCCATCCTAGAGAGACATGTTTCTTTAAATCCGTATCTAAACCATCTTCCTTTGTATTAAAAGCCACATACAGTGTGTTTGTGGATTCCCCTCCCCATACAGTTGGATTATATTAAAATATATCCTTTAGAAGTTATTCTAAGAGCAGTGGAAAGTGTTTCCTAGAGAACACTTGAATATGCTTCTATGTATAAAGCTTTCCCATATGAAACAAACCTTTTCCATCTTCTTCTGGGCTGCGTACCACAGCTCTAAGAGTGTGAAAATAGCCACTCATTTCTTTGTATTTGTAATGCAGCCTCATGCAAGAGAACTTGGGTTTGCCAAAGAGAGTAGGCTCAGGCCCTGAGAAATAAACCAGGAGGTTAGAAACCTTTAACCAAACAGGGAGATATTGCAAAGACTGTACGTAAATGTAGGTGTTGAGAGTCTTTTTCAGCATAAAATGCTTTGATTTGTCTTTGGAGTAGGATAGACAATTTTGAATGAAAGATTATCACAATAGCCAAACAAGCACTTACACAAAGTAATCAGAGCCTCTCCATATGTCTATTATATTCAGCCTGATTGTTTATTACAGATCACCCTTTCAAATAGAAGAGAAAGAAAGTACACCTATTATATCCTGTATTTTAGGGTATGCTCCTGCATGGATTAAAGGGAAAGCCAATAAATTTTTACCAAATGAAGTGCTTCCACTCTTCAGTGCACTGTATTATATCTTTGTTTGCTTTTATAAGGTATTTAGATGTTTCACCTATATTCTGTACACCAGGATGTGTTACAGATCTCCACGATACACAAGTGAGACCCCTTTCACTGAACTGTTAGCAATTGCACAAAGACAGTGAAAGCTACAATAAGGAGATGATGAAATCACTATGCATTGTGTAATGAAGGAGTAAACTATCAAAGGGAGGGGGGCAAACACTGGGAGCCACAGAAATATCCCTTCATTCTCTCCAACAGGAGCACCCCTTTCATCTAGAAAGCCAAAAAATATTACATCTTTAATACTTTCAGCTTAAAATGCTGGATTTAGCCTGCAGATGTTAGTCTTTAGCCAGTAAGTTAAATTGGGATAACAAGGCGATTTCATAACAGCATGTTTCTTACAAGATCTTGAGAAAGAAGAGTTTTAGAAAGCTATGAACCAGATCTAAAGTACAATTCAGAACCAGCTGCTGTATTTGGATCAAAGAGTGCACAAACCTGTGATTTATTCTAGAAGCTGATCCAGTTATTACTGTCATTTGATAAACTGTGAAGTCTGTTTTGATGAATCCATGGGTTTAAGAGTTTGAAAGAGGGAAACTATCAGATCCCCCCTATTGATCAAAGCTTCTATTTCAAGCAGTAGCAAAGACAGGACTGAGAGAGAACACGAGCTCAACTCTCACATCCATTATCAGCAAGAAAGCATCTTTCTAGCTGTGGTGGACCACACAGGGTATACAGTGAGGCTGGCTGTTTCAATACGTTTGTAAGATGCTCTGATAAGAGCTCAAGCTATTGTTAAGAGCATTCAAGAAAGGTATCTGGTGACTACATTCTTACCTATTTCTATTTTTTCCAGCGCTTCAAGACTTAACCTTTGGTACTGATTCACCTTGTCGATTTCATCATCATAACTAGAAGAAAAAAGAATCAGAATTTAATGCCTTTACCGTTCTAAAACAGAGCTACTAGAAATAAACTGCACATAGTAAGGCAAAGCGGTAACTTACTAGGCCACGTAGTAAGCAGAATTAGAAAGTAACAGCAGAACATCCACATCCTTATGAGTGGCATCAATGAGACTAAGGAAGGGGAAGAAGAAAAGGAATGAATACAGAGAAGTGTATTTGCAAAGCTGTAACCCACCCCTAGTGTATTTTAGGGAGGCTCTTACACTTGAGGGCACTTTACAACAAGAGGTTTCAATTATGGTAGGGTAGCTATGTGATGCTGCTGCCTCTTCAGAGCCACTGGAAAAACCAAGGCTTGTGAAGTGCCTCACCTAACAAGTTGTGATGTGTCATTAGACTGCCATAGAATAAGTGAATCCACATAAGCAACACTCCCTCTTAAACCTGGAGTTACCCAATAGCTCAGATAGGTCAGTAGCAGGTCCAAAACTAAATAGGAAGCCCACAAGCTATTGCAAATGCTAACAGAGAAATGGAAAAATGCCTCAGACTTTGTTAAGGTGACGAGTGTGTGCTTTGAATAGCTGCCATAACGTCCTGCTTTGCTATTTTTAGATGCTACAGCATAACCTGCTGAAGATCTAATCACTACCTTTCTTCTACAAGTTAGAGAACTCTGAACTTGATAAGGAGACTTCTGAGTGAAGTTCGAGTTCACGCTCACTACTCTTAATGAAGAGAAACCTAGGCTTTCCTACTACTGACTCATTACACAAGAATCTAATCTGATCAGATATGGCTTTGAAGTTAAGTTACACTTTCCCTGTAAAGCAATAAGGAACAACAGCTCCTCAAACAGCCTCTGTGAGAGCAAAGGGGAGTTTAGAAGTTCTCTTCATGATGCCTACCACATTTTGGCAGTATCAACTGAATGCATGCATTTCCAGGTGTTGTCTCCAAGGTAATGCAGGTAATTCCAGCATGCACCATTCTTAAGGCATTTGGGAAAAGTAAATGTTTAGGTAACCTTTACTTCTACAATTACAAGGATTCAATCCCTTCAAGAACTCTTGTCATTCCACCAAACTGCCCACTTGTATTGTGTTAACTCATCAGCTACCAAAATCATTTAACACCAGTAGCATTTAACAGAGGTGCCATAGTGGCAGCTGAACAATTACGACCTTATTTGACAAACCTTGGATCACAGTCAATAAGAGCCCATCCTCCATGGAATTTTTCATCATCTGGTAAGAGCAGTTTCATGTAGCTCTGCAAAAGCTGGCTGATCAACTCCTGATGGCTCCTCAGGTTCTCCTTATGCAGAGCTTCATGCTCTTTCTCTTTTGTAAATATGGAGTAAAGATCCTCTGTCACAGGGATACCCTGCATCAAATCTAAATGAATCCCACAAGGGACCAAACAAAAGACCAACAGTTAAAAGTGATGCACACCAACAGTCTGTTGAGTACTTTGTAAATTCCTCCCAATGTTCCATAGTTAAAGATACTGTTGGGAAATTGCTATTCTTTCTGAATAGAATGTTGCCTGACACTGAACACTCAGTAGGTAGAACACTATTTTCTCTCAGTGAAAAGCAAGGGCTAACTTATCATTTTAAGAAACACTTGCTACATAAATTTAACTTTGTCTAAAGGAGCAGTGTTACAAGACAGTTAATGCTAAAATGGAGTTAGGAGTAAATTCTAAGGTGTATTAACTGCATGTAATCCTTGTGAATTGAGTGCTGTTTAATCTCCAAATGGAGAGTGACTGCTCAATGCGTCCACTACAGAGACCTACTGAATGTCTCTCTCTATATATATTGAACAATACATACACTCACTGAATGTCTCCGTGTATATACAGAACAATATATACACATACTGAATGTCTCTGTATATATATATATATTGAATACATGCACATACTGAATGTCTCTGTGTTTATATATTGAACAATACATACACTGAATGTCTCTGTACATATATATTGAACAATATATACATTCACTGAATGTCTCTGTACACATATATTAAACAATATATACACTCACTGAATGTCTCTGTACATATATATTGAACAACATATACACTCAAGGTGCTTTTAATCTTCAGGAAAATTAAGTCAGTGAAAAAGATAAGCCAAGATGATTTTAATAAACTTTGCTAAATTGGATAGTTCAGCAGAGTTGAAATTCTGTTCTTACCTATGACTGCTTGCCTGTAAGCATCCCTGAAACGATTCAAGTAGTATCTGTTTGCAGAATTAACTCCATCCTTCATGACCCCTGCCAGCTTTCTTTCACCGGTCCTTGTGAAGTCACCCTGTCACACAGAACATGGGAGTCACGCACATAAGCGGCTGTGAAGGAGCAGCCTCAGCTCAAAAGCTTTGGCATTCTGAAATTTAGGGTGGTGAGGCACTGGAATGGGTTGCCCAGGGAGGCTGTGAATGCTCCATCCCTGGCAGTGTTCAAGGCCAGGCTGGACAGAGCCTTGGGTGACATGGTTTGGTGTGAGGTGTCCCTGCCCATGGCAGGGGGGTTGGAACTGGATGATCTTAAGGTCCTTTCCAACCCTAACTATTCTATGATTCTATGAAACTCTGAATAGATGACAGCTCAGAAGTTACGTTCAAGTAACTATTTTATACAAAAAAATACTGATTTTCAAAGAGCATCTACTTCTTACGGCGTTGTTTGACTCTGCTGAGAATCTTAGGCTTGTGACGGACATGATTCTATATGAAGTCCTAATAGAAAACAGTAATATGGGCATAAATGCCAGCTAACATGAAGGCAGAACTTTCAAGATATCAGTCACTGCAATACTTGAATACCTCAAAAAGAATTATGTTTTGGCCTTTAACGTAAAAGGAACAGTATTTGAGCAATGAAGAAGACTGGAACCTACTGAAAACAGTTTATCATCTCTGCTTCTGCTACCAAAACAAGACAAGCATAACATACTAAAATACAGAACATATCCTCATGAGCTCAGAAACAGGAGTTTCTAAATCATGGAAGGCTTAGAAAGGGAATAAAAAGCAGTTTTGGTAGTTGCACTTCATTAGAGGATTCTATTTTCAGAGATGCTCTGAACACTGGCACAGTGCAGTTCTAAAAGCCACAACAACCACTATGAAGAACATTTCCAGTGTTTCACTTTCAAATTAAAAAGAAATATCACAAGTTGGAAACAAATTTAATCCATGAACCTCAAGAGGGAGTAGAGAAATCTTCAAGCAGAATGGCTGAAAATTTAGATGTATAAATAGAGTTCTATGATTCAGATTTAAATACTCATAGTCAAGACAAGTCCCCACTGCAGGGGGGTTGGAAAGCGATGATCTCAAGGTCTTTTACAACCGAAACCATTCTATGATTCTATGCCAGGCTGGGGTTTATTATATTTTCTTTTAAATATTAATGTAATAGACTAATCAGTTCAGTAGAGAGATTTTTAAAAGATATTTAAGTGTAAGCATTTCCACTGTAAAGGTTTTTCCAATGCCAAATACCAGGAACACTAAAAATTGTTCCATCAACCATTAAGATCATCCAGTTCCAACCCCCCTGCCATGGGCAGGGTCATCTCACACTAAACCATGTCACCCAAGGCTCTGTCCATCCTGGCCTTGAACACTGCCAGGGATGGAGCGTTTACCACTTCTTTGGGCAACCTATTCCAGCACCTCACCACCCTCACAGGAAAGAACTCCTTCCTTATATCTAACCAGCTTTGCATCTCTATGTAACACTAACAGAATGAAGTTAAAACTACAGCCAGCACTGCCTGGACACCCAATTCTTCTCCAATTCACACCAAGTGTGATACAAAATACCCCTCTATTGAAAGGTCTCATGTCTCTCCAAAACAAAACCATGCAGAGTATTTGGCTAACTTTGTTACATATCTTTGTTCTCCATGGGACATAAAACCAGGAAGATAAGATACTACTCATCATCAGAACAGATCACACTGTTCACTCCTTACCTTTAAGGCTGCTGTGCCAGCATACTGCCGGCTTATGGCATCTCCATTGTTTGCCCACATTATCTGGTAGATTCTATTGCATTTCACTGGCAAAGGCTGCTCTGGCGGCATCACACCCAGTTTTTTGAGCTGGAATTTGACAGACACATTAATATAAGGTTCAAGATAAAAATCATTCTCAATAGCAGAGCTTGATAAAGACAATGGGAACACTGCCAAGCAGTTCATTGTTAAATTTTATGAGATCTGAAACAGAAACCCATTCTGCTAATTTGTCAGATTAATTGTTAGCAAGGAATCCCTAATTCGTTGTTAAACATCCCATCACTGGATGCAGCAGTAATATATTCATTATAAATGTGGGAGTTAATCTTCAAAAAGACTTGCTCAGGTAAAACAAGTTGCTCTAAATTACTCAAGACAGGAAATGTTCCTGTTCTCTATAGAGAGCTATCAAAAGAACACACATCACAAAACTAGCATGGATAAACAAATTAATGTCTTCTATTGCAAAGGCATTTATGACCTCAAAGGTCTGAAGATAAAGAAATGGAATCTTTTTCCAGTACAAGGAAAAACACACTGGAATCTTTTGCTTCTAGACACTAAATCAAATGTAGCAGCTCCATCTTCAAACTTACTCCTCCTCCTAAATAAGCCTTAAAGCAATTTTATATGTTGTGTTTGTTATTAATGCTTGTGCAGTTTGGACAGTTAGTGTTTGACACCACAACTAAGATATTTTACTCTTCAGAAGAACCAGTACTTCAGTTTTCCCAGGATAAGGCTTGGGTACAATGCAAACTTTAGTCTTCTTACACATACTAAATTGATAAAGCAACACATATGTAACTGCAATGTAGTCACTAAATGTTAGGCAAACTGCACAGATAATTTGGACTAAATCATAGGCAAACCCCAATTTACAGCCAAGAAAACAACATTCAAGCACTCTTTGCAAGTAAGATGAAAACTGATACACATCTGTTGATTGACTCTGAAAACCCTATCAAGTTTCCAGCTGAGAGAAAACAAGTCCTGTGGTTCCAAGGAAGTGCAAAGGTAAGGTACATGTGACCCTCAGTCTTCCACTTTGTGTCAGTCACCTTCCAATGCTTAGGACATTTCCCAGTTATGAATTGATTCTGAAGTACTTCAGCTATGAGAATGATGTAACCCAACACAAGATAGTACTATAGCCATGATTACTGAAGTCCTCTTCACAACAATCTATGCAACTCTTGAACTCCTGGAGTTCATATATATAGAAATCCTATTCTAAAATAACAACCACAGAATCTCTGGTCCCACCCCTTGTCCCCATTACTCTTTCTGTATCAGGAACTCAAAAGCAGATGACAAACAGGAACTGCCAGATATAATGGATGGAGCCATTCACTCTTCATCCTATCAAGGACCCACTTCATTCTTTATCCTTCACTCCAGGCATAGTCAGGTTTGCTCATTTTGGGCTGAGCTGTAACTGATGCTTCAAAGTTTCAGTTACAGTACTATTTAAGTCTTCACAAGGGAAGATATACTGAGCTTCTATATCAAAAAGTAGCTAGGGAAGCTAGTAGTAGGGAAGCTAGTAGTAGGGAAGCTAGTAGTAGGGAAGCTAGTAGTAGGGAAGCTAGTAGTAGGGAAGCTAGTAGTAGGGAAGCTAGTAGTAGGGAAGCTAGTAGTAGGGAAGCTAGTAGTAGGGAAGCTAGTAGTAGGGAAGCTAGTAGTAGGGAAGCTAGTAGTAGGGAAGCTAGTAGTAGGGAAGCTAGTAGTAGGGAAGCTAGTAGTAGGGAAGCTAGTAGTAGGGAAGCAGGGCAAAGAGGAGGAAGACTAAAGGAAGGACCCTCAGTCTTTTTGGAAATGCCTTTTCTATACAGGGAAAACTCTTCCCGAGCATAGTAGTCACAGCCATTTGGGATATTTACACCATGAGTTAATTACTTCCCTACACAAAGAAGCGACAACCAATCTCCCTAACTGCTGCACCACAGTATATCACTTCAGAGCAGCTAAAATTGCATCCAGAGTTTAGACCTTTAACATGTTGTTTGGGCCAGGGATTCACTGGGGATGGGAGGATGGTGTCTGTTTTCAAACTCTGCATTACTGCATAACTTAAATTGACCAAATCAAAAGAAGAATATTCTCTCCAAGATGTGGACAGACACCAGTCATTACCTCTCTGAAGCATGACATCGGGCATCACTGGCGTGGAATGATTCCAAGTTTAGTTGTACATACTACTTCCAGTTTCTTAGCTCTCCGAGTAGTTTGCAAAGATCCTTTGCAGTGGAGGTTACTTTAGCATTGTCAAACACGCAGAATTGCCAGTGAATAACAATGAATTGAAAAAGTACATTATTTATACATGCCTGCTGTTCCATGACCACTCTTGCAATAGCCGCCTGTACAACATTGGTACGATCCAGACAGTCCATGCAGTTAACTCGAAAAATTCCTTCCTGCTTACAAATCACGCCAGCTTGGTCAACCCTTGCAACAGAAAACATAGAGCAAAAGCATACTGAGACACTTGAAATCCAGTGCAATTTATCAGCTCCTACAAACAGCAGAAAACTCTACACATGAGGTACTATTTATAGTTGCATCTATCACCCCAGCAGAACCTCATTCTGAATGAGCTACTCTTGTTCCCACCTACCCTCCTCTTCAGTCTATACTAGATATCCAAAGTGCATCCTGCTGGGGCCATAAACTTGATATATAATTGGATGCTGAATTCAATTCATACATATATAATATGAGCTTTCAAGAGAAAAAGCATTTAATTTCAAGAACACAGAAGCCAACAGTAACGACAGCAACACCTCACTCACAAAATGCATTGAACTATATATATATGGTAATTGAAAACTGCAGCCATACTCACTACTGAAATGCATGAACTTCAATCATCAGAAACTAAAGGTCAAACGTGCCTACAGTTTTCAATAGGAAGATTGGAGTTCTAGGGTTTGTGGGTCAAATGCAAAGTGTTTTATACTAAATATAAGAAACCCTAACAGCGTTAAGTGCAGTAAGCCCCAGGCAGAACATAGCATCTGAGAACTTTTGCTGTTACTTCTGTAGAACATCACTGCTTCAGACCACAGAAACTCTGACACAGGCTGGGCATCAAGAGAAGAAGATAAAACAGACCAGTTATGACAAAAATCAAGGCCTCTGAATACGTACTGGTTTATTTTTTAATACAAATATTCCATACTACTCTAAAACCAGTCAGTACCTACCAGCACCACTTCATGTCAAGAATAATATCATGAATGGCATCAGTCAGTGTTTGAACGTTTTCAAACTTCATTCCTCGGCTAAAACACAGAATTTGACAGGAGTTAGTTTGTACTACAGCAGTGGTTTTTTTTCTTACTTATATTACTTGTAACGTTAACCAAGTTACACAGACATTCCCCTTTAAATCACAGCCAATATTCTGAACTATTTTAAAGCACCATTCAATATCTAAATCCAAGGAAAGAAATTAAGCTGTTTAAACTCACAAGAATTTGCATTCTTGAATGCTGCTTCCATAAGGAAGACAAAGTGCACAGCTCTTCAAGCATGTGCAACATTCTGTTCTCATTTTAGGCAGTCTCAACAAAAGCAACCACTATAGAAACTGGGATGGCTTGCGCTGCTTCACCGCTGTTTCTACAGGAAAATCACCTACAGACACAACATTCTCTCCTCTTCCCACCCAACCAGGGGGTTTTCAGCATTGCTCTCAATTCACTTATGCTAACAGTGCAAAAAGAAAGAGTCCTGGTCACTACAGCAGTTCTTAGGAGAAAAGCAAACAAACAAAAATGAAAGCTTATTTGAACAAAAGTATCAAATCAATTCAGGATGCCAACAGTCATCTAGAAAAGGCATCTCAAAGGCCATCACTATTTTGATGGGGTTTTTGCACTTCCCTCCCCCTCTTGGACAGTATCTACTACTGACATACTGATCCAGGCAGTAATGCCTTCCCAGGCCAGATGCAATCCCTAGATTAAGTCAGGAATTGAAGATTAAAACATTTTTTAGACCCCATATCAGTGCACAAATGGAGCCTGCTGGAGGGAAGCATGAGAAATACATGCCCGTGTGAGAGGTCACATGCCTGGGCATGTGAACACTGCACGAGAACATGTCAACATCAGAGTGGAGTTACTAAAACAGCAGCTAGCTCTAATAGATTAAAGTAAAATCCAGTGTGTAACAGAAAAACAGCATCAGGGTCCTGAAAGAAACCAAACTTGAACTTTCATGGTGATTTGGTTTACAAAATATATTTGTCCTATCTGAAAGAAGTGTTTCATGCAGAAATAGAATAATAATAATAATGCTTCTCCTCTTTCCTACTCTCCCTTTATGCTAACAAAAAAAGATGCAAAGCGACCTCTGTAAAAGGCTTCTTACCAGTGTTCATGGAAGTCAAACGAAACGTAAGTCAGATTTGCATTATTGTACAAAAGCACTTGTTTAAGGTAAGCATCTCCAATAATCTTCTCTCTGCCTGTCTGATCCACCAGATTAATAATAACCTGTTCAAAAGTTTAAATGATTAACACTTGTCATCTGCTACACGACTTGCTTAGATAGATATCATGGAATAACAAATAGCTCAAGAGGTTTGTAAGCAGTCCCCCTGAAGTTACAATCTTTACTAGGTTGTACTCAATAAGCTCCAACAGCTACCTGCCTACCCGAAGTTTCATGCAGAGAAGCTATGAATTCACGAGACAGGTACACAAAGTTGGTCTTGCATATCTGTAAGTTATTGCTGGTTCTAGCAATTACTTACAAGGATACTTGAAAGTCTAGTAAAATTCAGTCTATGTAGCAATTTTCCTATGTGAACAGCTTCGAAACCATAATACGGATACATAACGTATCAGCAACAAGAAAAACAAACTAAACCATTAACTTTCATCCCTTACATTTCCATTAGAAGACTATTTTACCATGTAGCACTCACCTGCTTCTTGTAATTTTTCAGCTGCTCTTCAAAATGTGCACGAAAACAGGACACTGTCTCATTTTCACCTACAAGGCAGAGAGAATTGTTAGAAGCAGCCTGTTGAGCAACAAGTCCCCTTTGAAGTATGGCATCATGCCCAAATCTATACTTTAAAGAAACTAAGATACCTTCACTTCAATTACTCGTACACACAACACATTGTACAGAATTACTTTTAAGGGTCTTTCATCAATTTGCTCCACACTGTTGTTCTACTACTACAGCGTAAAGGAAATACCAGTCTTAAATTTTGCTTTATTTGGAGGTTTTCTGCAGATAGGACAAAAATCTAACTGTTAATAAGCCTGTTTAATCCTTCTATATATGCACCATACACCCACATGAACATCACTTCCAAACGAAGAGTGCTTGTATGTGTTTTGCATCTTTTGGCAAAGCAAACTGAAGTACAAGGAAGGTTTGCAATTTGCAAAGGGGGATATGCAGGACAGGGGGTAATACTGAAAGTGTTATCCAGCTCTAGAGGATGAAACTACTTGTAACTAAAACCAACCATCCAGTTGATTTGAGGCATCACTGACGCCTCGAGGTCTTAATTCCTACTTGTAAATCTATCAAATTTAATGCAATTCCTCAGTATTTTTTTGAAACTATTCCTATTAGAAAACAATAATAATGATAACAAAAAGATGGTCAAAAGGAACCCCTCAGCTCTACAAATGGATGTCGTGGTACAACATTTCAGTTTGAACTAACCAAGTGTTGCTTCCAAATATCAGGGCAAGGGGGTGGAGGTATTTGATTTTTATCCTTTATTTTGTTTACTTATTATTTAATTTTTATTTCATTATTATTTCCCTCACTTGGCTTTTACTAAATATTTCCCTTTCTACGGTGTGGCAAAGAGGCATCCCTCTTCAGTCACCTCCAGGTTATTTGGCATGAAAATCACAAGAAGCTCAAACCTACTGATACACCTTTCTTAAGTTTGTAATGACAGTAACTGCTTGACAACTAGACTTAGGTGCTTAGTCCAAGTTCCTAAGCAAGCTGAAAGACCATTTTACTAGGTCTTACCCAAGACACAGGAAAAACAGTCCTTTAACTTCCAACATCGCAGCCCCCTCTGAAAAGTAGAATATTTTCCGCTCTAAAAATAGTCATCAATGGCAGAAGACCAGACCTGCTAGTGCTAGAGAACACAAAGCCAATACACAAGCTGGACTTGCAGAAATACATATGTATGATTCTAGGATGCCAACCAACCCAATCCAGTGGGAGATCATAAGCATACTAGATTCCTTCTGAGAAAAGTTTCTGCTTTACAATGCTAACCCTACAGAAGATTCTGTTGACCTCTCTGTTTCAAGGAAGTAAAGACTATGAATGCTTAGTTCACACAAGCACCCAGATTTGTCACTGTCTCATAAATATTCTTACATGTTTTAGCTTTTCCATTACCTTTAAGTGGAAAAGGAAGCAATTTCGATCTGAAAAACCCACTAGATAGTACTCCGTTTCAGAGAAAACAAAAGCATGTCAAAAACCAATGTCAGAGCCAGCCTTTGATGCCAGTGACTGCTAACACATTTATGCACCCAAGGCATACAGACTCTGCTGAGGGGCACTTACACTGGAAGCTTCCAGGTCAAGCAACTAAAGATCTTTCAACTTGATTTTCACTTTGTTTCTAAGTGTCCTACTGAGAATATCCAAACTAAAAAATCCTGGTATGCTGGATATGATTCCTCCAGATAGCAGGATAGGTATGTGCAAAATGATGACATAGTTCTATAAGTACAGTTTACACAATAGGGAACAAATGATTCCAAAAGTCAATGACAGTGAAGGCGAAGACCTCCCAGTGTGAAGTACCAGAGGGGAAAACTTTAAGAAGACAAAACTGGTGTTAGAGGAAATGTCTATGTTTCCCCACATTGAAATAGCAGCTCAAAACGCAGAAGGAACCTCAGCATAAGTTCCCTTTGTGGACAAAGATATTTGTAAGACACCAACGTCTAACGAGGCTTTCAAAAGAGGAAACTAGATTGTCTCAAGTCCCATCCCAGAAAGCACTACAACAAATAAGACTACACATAAACCAGGCTCTTCATTAAATATTGATGTTCAAGACCTGTTGGAATTTACAATGGACAAGAAGTCAGAGCTCTACATAATTGGAATTAGAGTAGGAGTTAACTGGAGTCAAGTCATTACTGTTACTCCTGGCTTCTAAAAGGCTACAGGTAAAATAACACTCCAATGAGCCTATTTCTAAGGGAACTCTGATCTTCAGGTATTCCACGCAATACTTACTCTTGTCCAGCCTGGGCCGCGGGTTATACCTATATCCAACTTGGCTCCAGAAAACAGGCACAGAGCCTCTTGTTTGTATAAATGAAAGAGTATGATTATGAACATGAATCAGTTGCTCTGTCTCAACATAGTTTGCCACGTTTCCATTTTTATCAACACCTCTTCGCTTATACCGCATTCCTAGGAAGAATGAGAATGAACAATTCATATTTAAGTATTAAACATTAATAACTTTTATTACCATTTCTGACAACAGAAGATAGCTCTAGCCAAAAGCCATGCTTAATGGTAAAAGTAACTCCTATCTAAGACTAATCCCCAAAAGTTATGTTGACTAGATGGACAAAGTTTATTTGCTGGCATACTATGAGCAGCAGAAAGTAAGTTCACAGGGCAAGGCAATCTACTGGCACTATAAAGTCACAAATACATTTAATCCACCCTAAAGGATACTGCTAAACTTGACAGAACAGGAAGTAATGTAAGTTTTACTCTAGGTTCATAGGAAATACCAAGCACTAAAGGCCCTTTTATTGACAGATGTTCTGCTTCTCACAATAGGAGATGCCACAAGCAGCCCAAGATGACTTGTATCTTCCACAAAACAGAGGACTTCCCCACCTTGTTTTAACCTGTATAACTAATTCTGCACATTAAGAACAGATATCACTCTTCCAAATACACAGTTTTTGCCTATCCATATCTGATTTGATCATTAAGCAGCACAGGTGTTTGCATTTTGTTTACTCAAAGGAGAGCACATCGGTATTTCAGAGAGGATGCAGGTGGTAGCAAGGGATCAGGAAGGAGTAAGTAAAACGGGTTGGAGAAAGCTTCAAGACCATGGTTTGTAGCATGGAAATTCAGTTCCACAGAATTGAAACAACTATGTTCCAAGTCCTGAAGTAGCACCTGAATCTCACAGCACTAAGGATTATGGGAAAGGGTAGAAACAAGGAAGCAAAAGGAACAAAAAAAATATCTCTCTTAGGTACCTTTATAGGGTTACAAAACATCAAAGCAGTATTACAGCCTTTAACCAGCAGAGGCTTTTAGACTAAGGCATCAGACACCCTTTACTTGTGTCCCACCACCAATAGTGGTTTTTCAGTGGGAACTGAAGTTAATGCATGAAAGGGAGCTGTGGTACAAGGCAAGTGCCATGTCAGGGTCAGCTGACCAGTTTACTTTCTCTTGGGTTCTTTTGAAGTGTTAAACACCTGACCAGGCAGGAAAGGAGTTGGAAATAGTGGAGAGTGGTTTTTTTTAACCTGATAGACTGAAAAGGCTTAGAGTTAACAGGACCTACTAAATTGTCTTTCTTTCTGTGTTCCTAAGGACAAGGAATAATTTGTTTGCCTTGCTACTATTAGAATAGATCAAACAAGGTGCAAGACCAAAGCATGGTTGTTATTTCACACCCTGTCCCTATGTAAATATCTCTTGAGATGTAAACACACACACAAACACTCATGCTTTTTCAAGTCTCTACTGAGCTGCTGTCATAGCCCACAAAGGAAGACCTATGAAAATGTAACTCCCTGCCAGCGTACTGCAAAGATGGAACTTTATCTCAGAACTGTGACCTCCAAAGATGCATTCAGTGCTCCAGAGGAGACTAGTGAAGCTCACTTAGTAACTGCTCTAAGTAACAGCTGTGTAGTGCTATATGTACTACAGCCTTTTCTTTTCCTCCTGTGAGCAGGAATGGTTGTAGTGTATACTTTGATAACAGTTGACTCTGCTGAGCAACACAACATTCTGTCAAGTTTTATCCTTTGCATCCCTCTCCAGCACTCAGGAACAACCCCAGTACCTTGAACTATGTTTGCCTACCAGCTCTGTGCCGACTCCGGCGTGAAATAAGTGCCACCAGAAATGTTGGATGAACATCATCTACACAAGTTGATTCCTGAGGAGTTTCAGGACTGCTCTTATCATCATCAGAAGATTCACTATAGTTTACTACAAGTTCTTCAATCTGCACAAATCCTTGTATGATGGGTATAATCCAGAAGTCCACTTCAGCATTCTAAAGGTTACAAAAAAAAAAACATTCACATTCCTGTTGGTTCTACATTACCTATAATAATTCTGTCATTTTGCATGTTCATAAGCAGTTACTTTGCATGTTTTTCATGTTTTAAGAAGTTTTTGCCATATCCTTGTCTTATTTCTGTAAGCATTTTATTTCCATTAGTCATAGGGGTTTTAAGTCAGGAGGAAGAAAGAGAAAGCAACTTAAGAGACTTTTCCTTGGAGATGGAGGAGTTTGCAGTGCAATGGTACATCTGATGTTTAAGAACATTAAAAGCTTAAGCAGTAACTTCTCATGTCAAAGACAAGGATAGGCAGTTCACATACAGCAGGAAATATACGTAAGTTCCTACCTAGTTTCTGCTTTAAGGTTAGTTTTATAACCTCTGTGTGGGCATACAGTATATTACATTTATACAGGTAGATAAAAAAAGTGTAATGTTGTTACCCTGACTTCAGCAAAACATACTAGCAAAAGCTTTACATGGGCCAACCCAAACCACCTGCTTCAGGGCTCTGCATATTAGGTGCTTTGTCACCCTAAAACCTCAATTTCTCAAGCAGAATCAAGACCTGAATTCCCTCCTAGTTCAAGGTTATCCCTTTATACCTTACAGCATGAAAAATACAACTAGTTAAATTCCTGCATTACACATAACTTCTCACAAAGCATCTAGGTTTACCCTGTTCTGTCTACTATAATCACTAGAGTATATAACTTTATGGGTTAAAACTTAAACAGGGGAAGTTTAGGTTGGATATAAGAAGGAAATTCTTTCCTGTTAGGGTGGTGAGGCACTGGAATGGGTTGCCCAGGGAGGTTGTGAATGCTCCATCCCTGGTGGTGTTCAAGACCAGGTTGGATGAGGCCTTGGGTGACATGGTTTAGTCTGAGGTGTCCCTGCCCATGGCAGGGGGGTTGGAACTAGATGATCTTCAGATCCTTTCCAACCCTAACTATTCTGTGATTCTATAAAATTATTAATGAAAGTTACAGGGCATAAACTAAAATGCCTTCTAATCTGAAATAATCTAAGACATGGTCTAAAGTGGCAAATACTAGTTATTAACTCAGTCCTTTATCTACAAGGTTAATTTAAAATGAAGTGAGATCATATATTGGTCTCACTTCATCAGTGAAGTGAGTGAGTGAATGAGTGAGTGAGAAGAGTGGTTGTTCTGTTTCTTCATGTGCTCATTAACCAGGAAAATGCTTTACCTGCTCTGAATAACTGCTCAGAATAACTTGTTCTATGCTATTGTTACATCAATCAGCTGCTCTGTTCAAGGAGGGAAAAAAGTAGTCTCCACATAGGAAGACGAAAATCTTAGCTCAAGAAAACTTCAGAGTTTCTTTTCTGGCTCCTCCTTATGAAGTTTAGCCTTGTCCAGGGATAACCCATTTCACAGAAGAATACATCTTAAGTATTCAGAAATCAGCACAGTTGTACCACACATAGAATCTTAGAATAAACCAGGTTGGAAAAGACCTTTAAGATCATCAAATCCAACCATTACCCCAGGACTGCCAACACCTGCATTGCTTTATAGTACTAAAATGTTTAATTCAGCTGATGTTCATTCATTAGCAGCTGGAAGGCTGGCTGGGGGGAAGAAAGTAATGCCAGCTACTCAGCTTCATAAGGCACAGTCCTAATCCTGACCCATCTGCCAAGCAGGTTTGTAAGTAAACTTCTGAGAAGCCTTAAGTAAACATTTCAACTAAAAGTAAAGGTTCTCATCATACACATGCTATTGTTCGGAATAAGACTCACATCAATGGTGATGAGATCTTCGATCATGTGCTTGTTCCAAAAGAATCTGTCATCAACCTGTTTAAAACAAAACCAGCAGATTTTGCAATATTTTCAGTAAAGTTTGGCAATATCTTTGGTAAGGACACCAGTGTTATTCACTACAACTGTACACACAAGTCTACTGTTCACTACATTTGAACGTAACAGCTCAGTTCAAGACATGCTGCTGGAGGCTTTTGTTTCATTTTCTTGCACTGAAGTGGGTTCACACAGGGCAAGATCTTCAGTTGCAGTAAACTATACCTGCAGAGAATGTGACCAGTCAAGTTTGGACCACATACATTATTGAACACCACAAATCCCAAAAGAAGGGGAATAACCAAAACAAGAAGGCACCCACACACCAAACCCAAACCATAACTTACTTTTCGCCACAGTGGTAAGTTGATTTTCTCACACGTACTCTGCCTCTGCACAGAATTTGTTAGGTCATAGGTGAGGCTGTAGTAAAAGGAGTCTGAATCCATGAACATTTTAAACAATTCCTCCAATAATCTCTTCTCCAGCTTCTCTTTCTCTTTGCTTTCTTTAATCTGAAAGAAAAGCAATGGCTTTCCTGTATCTTTCACTTTGAAAAAGACTCCAGCCATATTGCTAAATGCCATTTCTAGCCTTGTAGGTCAAACATTTTCCCACTGAGGAGCAGGATCTTAAAATTCCCAGCAGAGAGAAACGCAAGGGATGGCATCCTCAGAAATACCACGCTATTACTTTAGCAGTTAAGGCATTCAAAGCACTCAAACTTCTGGAGCTTACATTCAAGTAGCAGGTTTCAGTCTCAAGAGTTTAAGAAATCTTGCATCTACTTGTTCTGATTTTAATAATATTATTTGGACTTTCTAATCCAAACCATTATTGTGTTAAAAGTTTTTTGGTATGACTGAATGGCATTCTCTGAGGAACTGTGCACCAAATTTTGTCTCTAATTCTACATTATATGAGATGCTTATGCAGAGTGATTTTTATTGGATTAGAATCCCACTAGAACCTAATCCTGGTAAAATTTTAAAGTGCCTAAAAAAATGCACTTTATTAGTAATTCTACCCAAATTCTATAATTACAAAATGAAAGATCATACAGAGCCACAGTTAAAGTATCAAAAAATTATATGGAACTTCAAGACAGAGCAGCTCCACATCCTGCAGTTTTTCACTACTTCTTTTCTTAGGTCTTCATGCTCCATTTGATCATCCACCACAACCTTTGAATTATCAACTAAGCATTTGGGAAAGAAACAAGGAAACGGTAGGAAGCTTTACCTTCTTTTTGTTTGGAGCAGACACATTTGATTTAATTTGAGTAAGAGTCTTCAGCAGAAACTTTGTGTCATCTGGGGACTGCGTAATCTTCTCCGGCTTGTTTATCCCAAAATGGTGCTTTTTACAAAGCTAAATAATGATATTGAATTAAAGCCAGTACTTACATGCACTTTAAGAAGTTCAAGGAAGTTGTCATTAAAGCCCATAAAATGAGACTGTAATATCCACAATCCTAGGGCAGACACTTAGAAATACAGGGGGAACATTCAGATTTTCATCTCCAGTGTACTCAATAACATGGTATTTATAAAGCACAGAGTGCTTAATACGTCTACATATATCACGAGATAAGATGAATTTGTTTAACTATTACATCTCACATTCAAATTTCACTGAAGCAGAAGGGGAGAAGTCAGAGTTCATAGAAGACAGTCATACCTCTAATTCCAGATCCTGAGGTTCTGTTTCAGAAAGTGGAATCACTGCGATCTTTGTTATTTTGCAAACCTCATGGTCTCCTGGAAGTTTCCCAATCAGTGCTTTCTGACGAATTAAAAGTAGCCACCACGGTAAATCTGGGAATAAAAGATTAGCAAATACTTTGATTTGTCTTGTCAGGCATTTACATGGATTAATCTGGCAGAAGCTTCTCCCCAGTGTAAAACCCTTGCCAGGAACCATTTAACTAGAAAATGTCAGTGAATGACGATTGACTATTGCTGTGTTGTTATGCACTGTAATAAAAATACACTAAAAATGCTTATTCAGTCTCTAATATAATAAGGAAATAAACTATTTCATAGACTTATTCACTGCAGGTAAAGTTAACACTGTTTCATCTATAGCAGTTAGGCAATCCCTAGGATGATGCATACTTCCACCAATGTCACTAATGGCAGTACAGTTTGAAAAGAATAGCTAGAACTCAACAGCTAACACTTCCCCTTTGTACCTTCTGTTGTGTATAAAACAGCAAACAAGACAGACACAGGTAACATCTGATTACAAGATTCACGACTTAAAAAATACGGTGAGCAAACATGGACTATGTGATAAAGCAGCTCGTGCATGTTTAAAGCTTCACATCATTCCTGAAGCATACACATCTAAGTGGTAGGCTTTTCAAAGGCATAAAACATGGAACAATCTACTGCCATAAGAGTGAAAGCATATTTAAATCCATCATAGCAGGCTTCTAAAGCCTGTATATGATCTTAAGGCCCTTTCCAACCCTGACCATTCTATGATTCTATGATTAATGAAGATACTGCTAACAGGTATTAGCACATACAGGTGCAATCCAAAACATCTGCGAATCTAGCTTTGACACTTTAAATAGACAGGGGAACAGAACAATTGACATTCCCACTCATTGCTGAACAGTGTCTGGACATGAGCTTCCTAGATTTTAATCCCTTGGTTAGATCAGTGGTATGCTGGGCTTTTATAAGCCAAAGTGAAAGTTCTGTTAAGAGAGTTGTAAAAGGCACAGGACATCTTAGGGACACACATATACACTACTTCTCCCAGTTCAGAAGCAATCGAGTTTAACTGAAGAGGTCATATACCGGCATTACGGGCTATAACAGATTTAAATATGCTTCCACACTGATGACAGTACACTGCATCATGTATTATGCCTTTGAATATAATATACAGCCTTTGAAAAGCCTATTTATAGTCTTTATAGCAAATACATCTGTTTTCGTTGTTCGGTACATTCTAAACAGCTCTTTATCTTCTGAGTGCTTAGGAAAAATCAGGATAACTTGTTCGAAGCCCCAGGCCACCCAGAATTGTTCTCTTTCTCAGAATTTCCAATGTAGTCTCAAAAGATAATTAAAGCTCTATCAAGGTTGTGAACATCTTTCCAATAACTACAGTTAAATATCCTTGACCACATCAACCCAAATTTGACAAGATATATATAAGCAGCAGTTTATAATTATTACTTGTTTTCTTTAGGTAGAAGAAACAGACTACAGTACATTATGACATTCCACTCCTTTCTTTGATTCTATATTACTATTTTTAGAAAAGGGATGTGCTTATGTTGGGTACTAAGAAGCCTTTAAAAATTACAGATGCTCATAACTACAAATGCACTGTGATAAGCAGAGCCTGCCCCCCATAATGAGAGAAGGGGAAAGGTAATGAGGACATATTTAACATATGTGATCTTCTATAGGGAGTCCTGCACTGCTTCCTGAACACAGCATCAGGGTCTTTATCTCTCTAGGATCACAGAGACAAGTCAGGTCGGAAGGGATCTCAGGATGTCACCTTGCTCAATCAGGGTCAGCTCTCAGGTTGGACCAGGTTACTCAAAGCTGTGTCACGAGCCTAGTCTCCCAAACACTGGTCAAAGGATAACAAACAAGGGCAAGAGACTGACAGCAAATGTCATCAATACAGGTATCCTCACTGACAGCAGATGTTAGAACAGCTTTTATATAGAGGTACAAGCAACAGGATCTGACAAACACCTACCTTTGCCTTCACCATTCCAGCTAGCAACTATGAGGATAAGGGGGAAACAAGAAAAGGGAAGCTGAGGAAAACAGGGCAGATTCTATGCAACAGTGAGAAAAGCAATGAACAGGTAAGAAAAACCTTTTAAAAAGAGGAAACTGAAAGGCTACCAAATCAACCATCAACAGATGAAGATGACTACTGCTTCACTGAAAATGAAGGTCTACCATATTGCTTTCCAATAGGCCAAATCAATACAGTCTCTGGAAACCCACAGCAATCCAAGCTTAACAGAAGGGTAGTACAACAGGGCATTCAGACAGCTATTCCTAGTCCTATCATCTCATCTGTTCCCTCCTACAGAAGGTTAGCTATGCTACTTACTCCTACGAGATCACCAGTGTATGTCAACAAACTAAACAGATACTCTGTTGAGAAAGGATACCATCCAGAGCTTCAGTTAAATAATCAATATGATTTCACTGGAAAACAAAAGCATAATGTGAAGGCATTTTAAGCAAATTCACTTCAGCAAAAACTGGCAAAGAAAAAGCCTCTGGCTGCTCTTCAGTTTACCTCATATTAACAAACCCTGATAGCAGTAAGTAAGAACAAAAGAGCTTAATACAGCCAAGTGAGTTCTTTAGCCTTTTATCCTTTTTAAAAGGGAACTCAAAGTCATCTTGGTGTATACTTCAAAACTTTATTTGTATTATAGCCAGAGCCACAGAACACTGAAAGAAAACAGGAATTCCCCTGCGGATCAAAAGAGAACAGTCAGGAAGTAATTATGCAGATAAAGTATGCCCTAAAGTGAAAGCTTCAACAATAGTCACAGAAGCAGCATATTATAATTGCCAGTAATATTTAAATAATTGAACCCCTAAACAGAGTGTGTGCTTCTGCAGTTAAAAAAAAAAAAAACCACATTAATTCCATAGAATAGCTTTAAAACAAAAAAAAATTAATTATTGTCTACTCAGTGTGGGAGGTATGGGGTGTACAGCTATGTCATTCCAGAAAAGTGCACACTTTAAATCATCTCTTAACACCTGATGCTCTTTTTTAGTGTTTTATGAACTATGGCAAACAGATGACAATGAATGATTTCAAGCACTGTATCTAAAGTAAGTTATTCCCTCCCATTCCTCACTAAAACAGAAACCTAACTCCTCTTCTGCTTCAACACTGTCAGCACACCACTGCTGCTTTGCTCTAACACTTCCTAAACAATTTAGTATTTAGCTTCTCCAAATGCTGTAGCTTTTGGAGAACTACTCCAAATAGCAGTAGCTACTCCAAATGGCAGTAGCTTTTCTTAAACTGTGCTGAAGCTGACTATAAATGCTGCTTTTTGCAAGTATTTTGATTTTAGCCAAGAAATTTCATGTTACATTCTCTTATTTTTTGTTACTTGAGTAACTTAGAAATCAGTTGCATGCAAAACAGAATGTTTTAAGTTATTGACTGGATGACGTTTGAAATGGAGCAGTTACATCTCACTGAAGATATGTCAGATGCTGAACCACCACCCTTCGTTCCTATCAAGAATTAGAGGCACGCTAACAAAAAAAGCTTTCCTTTCCTAGGGATAGGGAAGGAGGAATTCCACTTCTCTTCTCTTTTCCAAGTCTACAGAACCTTGCCAGCAGCGTTTCATCTGGGTCTTAATTAACCAGCACCAGAAGAGCCCACCACACTGATACAAGTACAGATATCAAACTGCACAGGAGAGTGCTTTGACCAAGAAACAGACATGTGGTGGCAATGAATGAGTTAAGTGGAAGCTGCTGGAACTGGTTAAGAAATCCAGCTTTGGTTATAGTTAGATCTACAGTATTAACTCTGGCCATATGCTAGTTATTAACTACAGTGTTTGGTCAACTTGCTAAGTAGTCTCTGATCAAAAGTGATTCAACTTCAGCCTACCATAACTATTTAGTGGATTAAAGTATCTACTTCTCAATCTATTAATGAATAATAAAAACACCTCTTTAGTTCTTTATTGGGATTTTGATGAAAAGAAGTTGAGTGCCTACATTTGTATCTGTATGTACTGACATTCACTAAACCACAAAACAAAATATTACATAAAGGAGACACTGTTTATGTGCTTGCTTCTGCATGGGAAGATCATGCAGAGACAATCTTGACTGTCCATCTGTACCAAGAATATGTGCAATGTTCTGTTTCAGCAACATATGTCCACAACACATCCTAAAATCCTTTTCTTCCTATTCCCTTTTTTACCCCCCCATTTTGTTACAAGTCATCTTGGGATGAGCCAGAAAAAGGTAAGAGACCATCTATTTGCATCGTGACATTCAATTAAAGTTTTGTTATTTAGCTTCCCCCCCTTTTTCCCTCAAAGCATCTTAATGTTTAAGAAAATTCAGTATTGAGGAAGAAGCAGCTGATACACGAAGTAGATTTTCACCTCCAGTGTGGGTGTACAGTTAGGTCCAGATGTACAACTGACCTTCTCAAGGCAAAAAATCTTCAAAGAATTCAAAAAAAATAAGCCATGTAATATTGGCTGGCTGGTTTCTATGAGACTGCTTCTCTGCCACAGAAGCTTTCCTACAAATTCTGCTGTACTAGGCCAGCAATACAACCAGCGAGATTAAAAGTAAATTAAATCCCATCCCTACTTACAGCATTTTGGCAAGGGTAATTCAATGCAAAATTAAGGAGAGCCCAAGACCGACTATGGGACATTTCAAGGTCATTTTAGGGCTACTCCAGCATTGTTGCATTAAGCAAATCTTTCAAGAACATAAAAGGATCTATCTATGCCCAAGACATTAAAGCGCACATAGGCTTAGTGACAGCTTTATAGTGGACTGGTAGAAACTTCAGTGCTTAAAAAGGTATTGAAAGTTTCTAACATTAGTCAGTGTGTGCTAAGCATTTTAAGACATCAGTACTTCTTTCCAACAATAGCTAATAACAAGTTTCTGAGGAGGGCAAGCCCATACAGGACTCTAGTTAGCCAAAAGAGCTGAAGTTTTCTGACCCTTACAATGTGGGGGCAGGAGAGAAAAAAAAAATCAGAGCACCAGTTCTGTCTTAGATCATCTCTGGGGGGGGAAAGAAGCATTTCACCCAGCTTCTGCAGCACAGTTCTCTTACCAGGTCCAGAGATAATGGTCCAGCAATGTTAAATATTTATACAACTTCTGCTGATAAAGTTTCCAGGGGACAAAGATTGATAGAAGAATAAGTAATGAAGAGGTTACTGTTACAGTATGCTAGATGATTCAGCTAGAGGATTACATGAAACTACACTTGAATCTGATCAAGTGAGAGTTCATCAGAAATAACAGGTTCCAAGAGACCTTTGACAAACAACTCAGCCCTGTTGTTTTGACTCCAGCCCACTGGAGCACATACATCAACTGCTAGCAAACTTAACGGAGCAGTAGTTCTCAGAAGAAGAATAAGGATAAATAGCTGGTGACTGTTCCTTCAGACATTTCATGGTAGAAAATAAATGTCTGTTCACAGGACAGCTGCATCCCTAAATACCAGAACATCTACAACAAGGACAGTCTATGAACAGTTTGTGATCATGTCACCTGAACAAAGCAGAGAGGAAGCAAAATGCTTCCACCAGCCTGAGCAACAACCAAATGATGAGCAACATTGACTCAGCAGCTCTATAGGACATGTGGAAAGACGACCAGGTTTATCACCTGATGATCTTAGTTTACCTGAGAATAGCAAGCTGGCACCTGTTGAAGTATCACAGACTGCAGGAAGTTTTAACTCATGCTGTCATAAGCAGAGGAAGTGTCTCACAGTAAGCACGCATGCAAGGATATTTGGTTGCCATAACATACTCGACCTTCCAGAATGGATTTGATAAGGTCTTTCTCTTCAAAGGCTTTTATACTGGACTCCCTAGGGAGAGGCGGGGGAAAGCCACTGTGTACCCAAGTGCTTGGGTTTTTGAAAAAAGGCTAAAAACCACGCTAAAAACAATCATTGAGTATTTTCCCACAGCAGAAATAAGTCATTGCTGGAGTTTAGCCATTATTCATCACAACCAGTACAGATAACCTGGATGGGGAGAAGAGAAAGTGGGATGGCAGAGTCTGAGCCACTTCATATTATCAGATTTGAAAAGGATGGCTGAATAGGTCTGCAGAATGAGCACAGTCAAAAATATCTGGTGAAGTTCAAAGAAGATGAAGTGATACAGCTGAAAGAGGACACGATTCTAAACTTTATGGAGAGATGGGTTCTCAGCTAATACTCTCAGAAACGTGACAGTAACTATGCAGCCAAGCATTTCCCAGAACTAGATCTGTCACAAGCTCATGCAGTGGTGTACCAGTCCCTGGTTTTTTTCCTCCCCTAATGCCAATATGCCACTGCCATCTTGACTAAACTGTTTCTATTCAACAGATGAAACATCTGATCCATTTCAGCACTTAATCCATCCTGCTAGCCTGGAACACACTTGAAACTTTACCTGTATTGATCATATTGCCGGGCACTACTTTAAATGCAGGGTCTAAGCATTCACAAAAAGAACAAGCACACAGTAAGTCAAGCAGTTTATGGCCGACTTTCCTACCTGTCAGTAAATAGATATCCAGAGCTCTGCTGGCAAAAGAATCTTTCTAGACAAAGCTGGCATATATCAAAATAAATATTTGCTATGGCTACAGGACTTTGCAGCTGACTAAAGCTAAAGGAGCACTGACCTTATTTCACAGGAAACAGTTACTTGAATCAGTTAACATTAAATCACAATACATTCTATTTCTCTTTCACCTCATAGCTATGTCCTACATCTAACTACAAATAAATTCAAGTGCTCCTTTTCCTTTCAAATAGTCACCTACCAAGGGAGTAATTGTTCTTGCGGTTTCCATACAGCATTGAGAATTCACAATGTATAGCTCTGTGAAAACTTCCATCATTATTTTTTGCACTGTACCACAGTAAAACAACAAAAATCCACTTGAAAGGATTATTCAAAAAGGTGCAAGAGTTTCACACCTCTCACATGTCTCAAACACTAATTTCTACTCTATGAATGCAGCTCTCCATTTTTACAAGGCAGCGACAAACCGAAACACACACACTGGAAAGCAGAGGGGATTTGTATCTGCAGCTATTATATATTCACTTGGATATGGTTGGGGAATACTCCTCCATTGCAAAGATCACTACGTAATTGTATTTGAACTACACAGTGTTATTTGTAGTATCACCGACCTCAAAACAAAGTATATTAGCACTGTAAGGAAAACACGCAACAAAAAACCCAGCATTAACCACCTACCTGTATGGAGCTGAACTTTACCAATGACTCCCTCTACCAAGCCCAGGCAAATGGGATTCCAAGCCAGAAGAAGATCAGTGGCTGCAAAAAAGAACAAAGCACCCGGTTTTCTAAAGTAAACAGGACAGATAACCCAGTGATGGGCATTCTCTCTACTTTACCTACCTTAGAGGGTAGAAAAACACCAGTATTCTTGCAATAAGATGCATCTCCTGTTCAATGGTAGCTTATTAACAAATAGCTACGACCAAATGACTAAGTTCCTAACTAATTTATTAAGTACAAAGTACTAATTTAAAGCCCTGCCCCAGATATTTCAGCAAAAATACATGTGATTGTACTGGCCACAGGAATTCAGTTTAATGGAGGTTCAATTCTTCTAACAACCATTAAAATTTGTAGCTTAACTGAAATTTTACATGGCTATAGTGAAATTGAATACAGGTCATTAAGTTGGTAATGTAGCTTCAAAAACCTAGCAGCTGTTAACCTTCAGCCCCAGCTCTCTCCCGTACCTATCCCATTACTATTAGTTTCACGCTGTCTTTCTGTATACATGCGTACACACACATACTTCCTCTTCTGTTAAAACACTCTCAACAACTACATGGAATACCAAAGTACACAAAGTTGAGTTTTAGGTTTCTGTGAAAAGAAATTTCAGTGAACCACATAAGGAGAAGAGAAAGCAGGAAGGCAGCACTATCAACTGTCTAATCTGTGAAGCCTACTCCTCTTAGCATGCACTCAAGCCATCATTTGATTCAAGTCAGTAAGGCAGTGTAAACATGAAGAGTGAGTATCCTGTGGTCTCACAGACACACACTGTTGATACTCAGCAAGAGTTTCTAACAGTGTAGTACTACCTGTTCAAGACTATGCAAAAGAACACGTTTTGTATAGCAAATCTTTAAAGCGAAGCCAAATCCTCAGAAACAATTAACATCTGCATAGGAGAGAACAAACTCACAAAGGCAAAGGAGAAGAGAGGGGTTTTCTACACCAAGAAGGACAAGCAGCTTGTTATTATCTACCAAAACTACCTGTTCCTAGGCGGAAGAGTTTCTCCAGTTTAACTTCCAGGCACAGGGTACATAGATGAACATTTGAAAGAACAAACTCACACGACATCTTCAGACATAGAAGGGTACAAATCATCACCCGCACATGCTTTATTTACAAGACCTCAGCTTCTTCTTGGAAGTCCAAGATCCACAAGTGACACCTGATAGTCAGATAATTTTTATGTCCTTGCTCTCAAACACTGTATCCTCCATGAAACATTTGTAATTAAGACTTTGGTATTCCCAGAACATACATTTACTCCTAGCTTTCAGCATTAGACATTTAAACCAGACTCAGTTAATTTCAGCACTAAATACAAGCAATTAGATAAGATACAGTAGAAATGGTTGAAATCAAGGTAGATCTAAATTGAACTGCTTTAAATGGGATATACCACATGTGTTTGTATACAGACAAGAAAGAAATAAGAGCACATGGGAACAGAATTCAAAGCAATGTTTTCAGGAGGCAGTACAGAGCTACAATTCATGTGTGTAATCATGCTGTACAATTTAATGGACTGTATCTGCACAGAAAATCCTGGTTCTTCTCATTTCACTGTAAGAGTGCTACAGACAGTTACGTGGTCTGTAAAGAGCCCAGTATGAATGATGCCATAATGAAATGAAGTTCATGAGGAGACTAACACAGATAGATGCGCACCAGGAAACAAGCGTCTATGACAGTGGGAACAGTTTAACCTACCCTCAAACCTTGCTGAAGTACCCAAACTTATTTTGTATCAGTATGACAGAGACTTGTGCTCATATAAAACAAGTTTAGGACAGCTTGAGCTCAGAGTTTCAGTCCGGATAACATGCTGAATGGGAAATCTGCACTATCAAACTTACAGGGAAGAGGGACAAACAAGCTTCCCTCAGTCAAATCTACCACCTTCTTTCCCAGTTCATCCACACAATCCCAGAATCTTGTGTTCCTCCCCGGTTCTAAAGCTGTACTGTCTCAGACTTCATCTGCTTTTTGCCGTCTTTGCAATTGATTTCTACATTCATATTCCATTGTGAGAGCTAGAAACCAGCTAGATATATCAAGCAACCAAAAAAGCTAAGCACAGGAGGAATTTAAAGAACCAAACCACTGAAAGTTCACCATTGCTACTACAAACCCAGCTATCTAGAATACCACTGAAGTATTTTTAAACCACTGATTTCCTGCTATGATAAGAGATATTAGCAGGAAAGCTCTGCACAGTAAGTGAAGCTTTCTTCTAGGAGCTTACAAGTGATAATAAGAAAACAAGACTTTGTTTTAATTACAGATATAAGGAAATGATAGTTTCAACTTGCCTGCAAAAGGACACAAGGAAACTGGTATCAGGGACTGTAGAGCAAGAGGGTCTTACACTGTTGTTCTATTAGTTTTGTGGGTTACTCTGACATACGTAGCCCTAGACATAAGCATATAGAACATCCATAGGAATACATCTCCCTAGTAGTAAAAAGGCACAATGAGAACTGGCTCTGAACTTCGATTCCTGTGTTCACTTTAAGTACAAGTGAGCTTTGGGAAAAAACTGCATTTGGAGTTAAATGCACTTTGCACTTGGAGAGTTTAAGGACAGCAGCTATAGATCCACCAGCTGGGCAGCACTGGATTTCTTTGGTGACAGCATCATACTTTCTGTCCTGTGACAACACTGAGGCAAGCAAGTTGTTTTAACTAAATATAACACATCTGGTTCTGACCTTCTGACTAAAACTTTGTTACTGGTTACAGCTCTATTTCCTGTGTGAAAGCCTTATCTCAACTCAGAGACAACCCCCAGCCATGCTGAATATACATCACTACAGTACATACTGATGAACGTCTTGCTCTTCAAGAGTATACTCTGGAAATGGAAGATGGATGAACCAAGTTAAAAGGTTTACCATCATTCATGCATCCACCCCCAAAGATGGGCTTTCGTGTTGAGCACAGTCCTAGTTACTCTGGTTTCAAAGAAGCTGTCTCCATCTCTTGTCTAACCCTGTAAAGCTGTTCAAGCCTGTTCACTTGCAGTCATTTAGTCTGTCCGGCAATTCAGGCAGCAGCATCTTCAGCCACCATCTGTATCTTCAAAAATTATAGCCAATTAATCTTTGCTTAAGTCACAATGTTAAATATAGAGAAATCCAAAAAAGCCAACCGCAAGCCTGAAGATTAGTTTTTGACTGCAAAATATAGCAGAATTTAAGAGGCAGCATAAGTTGGTAGACAGTGAGACATGTTACAAAAGGTATTTAGGTCTTTTTAAAGCCAATGGGGAAAGTAACTATATAAGACAAACCTGAAAATCCTCAGTTGATAGTTTTTGGATAGCATATATAAGAGACCTAGCCACACTTCTGACTGCTGAATTCTGAAACAACACTTGTCAAATTTGATTTTTCTAATATAAATGTTTTTATCGATAAGAATTAACTAGCACAAGGTTCTATCAAAGGAAACACTGGCCTTTACACACAAAACAGACTGAATGCTTTGAGATACTAAGTACAACTTATCAATACAGTTATTCTTCCTTCCCCACACAAACCTACCTTCCTATAGATGTCATACTAGTCACCTAGTGATCCCTCAAAACTCAGCCAACCAGGAATAAAGACTTCTCAATCTGAAACTGCAACACGGTGTTGCTGAAACAGATTTCTTGCAGCATTGTGCTGGTGATAATGACCACTGTCAAACTATTCAAAAGCAGAAAGAGTCACTACAAGCAGTGAGCTGAGGCCCAGGAAGCATCTTCCTTGACATGGGGAGTTCTCTGGTGTCCTCAGTATGTTTTAATTTGAGAGAACTGCCAGAATCTGACATGTCTTAAACATGCCCTTAATACTCTGAGGTATGTACTTGCTTACCAAGTTGCCATTGTGACATTCAAAATTGTTCATTCTTTCCTTTATTCCAGTAACTAAATTCAAGCTATTGAAATAAGCATCGTCTCTTTCTGCCAATTCCTGTTAGAGATTAATGATCACTGATGATACATTTACCAGTCACAGTGATTGTATCAGTATTGTGGCTGCAGCACAATAGAACTTCCGTCATCAATTCAGAACAAAACCAGCTTTGATGTGATTACTTCCACCACCACCCCTCAGAGCTTACCAGCAGTGATGCAGGGCCATGCAATGCCCAATACAGTTTCTTTAATTCTCTGTGTTTACACAAATGTAACCCTGAAAAAGCAGATTCAGAAGCAGGTTGGAAGAGCATCAAAAGCCAAAAGTACTTTCTAGTTCTTTCTCCAGTCTGCCACCAGCAGAACTGATCCTAGGTCAGGCATGAATTCTGATAAGTAAACAAGCTTCTGCTTTGGGATCAGCCACTTGCTCTGCACTGAATGACTATGCAAGCCTGACGGGTTTAAGGAGGCAGGCTGTTAGGGAAAAGGCAGGAAGAATAAAAGGTTTCATCTGTAATCACTTGAATCCAGCCCTTACTAGCGAACCACTGCCTGGTTCCATTTGTCAGATAGCTTTAACTATTTATCTTCCAATGTTGCTATAGCTCAGGGAGTATACTCTTACCTTCCTCAAATGTTGTAGGCTTTCAGGAATGCACCTTGGTTAGGAAGTGTTTCCTGTCAGTGCACTTGGTACAAAAACATACAAACCATCACAGAGCTTCAAGCTCAGTTTATATGTGAGTGTATAAACACAGACATGTTATTTCTCAGGAATTCTTTCCATAGCTTTGACAGAGCAGTAACTCTCACAACATTCAACACAAGCAAGAGACATTTATATACAAAAAGTAAATCTGAGTAACTCACTGTAAATAACCAAAGTAAATCTTTCGGCTCTGCTAACATAACTTCTAACACCTGAAGCATTAACTTCAGGGGGGAGAAAAAGCTCATCTTCAATACTATTTTTAGATAGAGTGTTTTTTCTATAACTGTGTCTGCTTTAGACCAGAGACAACTTATTATTAGCACTATGTGACCCCTATGACCTCTCATGGCTTTTCAACAGAAAGCTTGCTTCCAAGTTCCAGTTCATCTTTGAACTGTG